AAAAAAAAAAGACATTTAATCCTCATAATGAACATACAAAGTAGTTAGTATTCTTATCCCCGCTTGACTAATGGGAAAATTGAGGCACAGAAAAGTGCCTGTAGCTAGTGAGTAGCAGAGCCAGGATAGACCCAGGGTGGGCTTTACTGTAATGGGCCTAGGTGGTTGTGCGCTGATGGAGGAATGAAGCATGTAGTGGTGAGGGACGTGGCCTTTGGAGACCATCTGCTCTGTCCTCAGGACAGTTATCTAACCTGTCTGAGCTGTAGGATAAGGACATCTATCTTGGAAGGCCACTAGGGAATGTGAAGTACCCAGCACACTTGGCCTATAGTCAAGGTAGACATCATTAGGTGGATGAGGACAGGTCTGCATTTCCAGGGCTGCCTGAAATGTTTTCTGCAAATGGTCTCTTTTGAAGGTTTAAAAACTTATCAATGAACAAGGCCAGTCAACTGCCAAGAGATGGACTCATGCTGTATAATATGCCCAGAAGATGAAGAATCCCAAATGCCAGTTTGTCAGTTTTGATCTAATGCCACATGTTGCACAAGTCACCTTTTAGAATTATCAACTCTTTCCTTCTTTGTAGGAAGACTGTTGGTGAAGTGAAAGCATTCTCAGAACCCACTTTTTAATCATTTGTGACAAAGAATCATCCCAGGTAGCAGGTACTGAAAGTCGGCCTGGCTCCGGGTGCCCCCTCACTCAGAAGCACGCTGTGTATGTTTTTGCCCCCTCTGTACCCCCCAGCCACAGCCAAGGGGTCTTTTGTCTTAGTAAGTGGGAGGATCTTAGTATACCATGGCTCAAGAGCCTTCTCTCAGAAGGCTTCTTGTCACCTCTGACGAAGCCCATGTTGGTAGGGACATCTGAGAGTCCAACTCTCAGAGTTGGATGAATGCCAACTGCTCTGATGGAAAATAAAAGGCTTCTTGTCATTGTCTGTCCTTTGCTTTCCTGTCTTGTCACTATACTGCTGTCTGTTTTTTCCACAAACACCTATACCCCCTTTCCCGCCCTGAGCACACACTGTTCCCTTGGCCTGGGATGCTCTTCCCTCTGTTTTTCTTGTAACCTGCCCCTTCTTGTTTATGAGCGCTTAGCCTCCATGTCACCCAGAGAGGCCTTCCTTGACCATCCTGTCTAGACTCTGACCACTGCCCATTTCCTTATCTTCCTAGCACCCACTTATCTCCATCATGGCCCATTCCTGGCTAGGGCTGTGTTTTTATGTGGGTGTTTGGTGGGCTTTCTACCTCATCAGACTGTGGGCTCTGTAAAGGGAGGAACTCTTTGTTCTGTCCCTGTGGCTTCCCCAGCATCTGGCCCAGTGCCTCTTTCTAGAATGAATGATTCCATGAATGAATGGATTGCCTCTCTGTGGGTCAGGCTCACATGAAGCAGAAGGGCAAGTGTGAGGCATGGGTGAATCCAGCGTCTCATGTATGGGCTAAGATAGCCTTGTGGCCCACCCTTAGTGGTCCTGATAGAGGAATTGGCTTCTTATGGCCCTTCATCCACTGGCCTGGGCCCTCTCTGCCCACGCTTGCCTATTCCCCTAGTCCTATTCCTCCTCCCTAGCTGAAGATGGCACTGGTCTGCCCCTCACCACACAGGTTCTCCTGTCCTGGGGCTCCACCTCTCTGCTTTCTACCTTATTTATTCGTTAGTTCACTGATTCCAGCATGTTTTTTCCTCTCTAAACTTATCATAGGCCAAGAATACTGGGATGAACAATACACAGCCTCTGCCCTCAAGATCTTTTCATTTAAGCCAAAGCCTGAAGGATGAGGCCTTTGGGGAAGGGGAGGGGAATGCTGTTCTAGGCAGAGCTGCCTGTTGTGTACAGGGACCTGGAGGCCAGGCTGTGCCCTGTCCCACCTCAAGAGATGAGGTCAATGGGGTAGAGCTTTATAATCATCCAGTAAGGCTGATGAACTTCATCCTGAGGGTGATGAAATCCCTTTTCTGTTGATTTTATCTAAAAGTTTGACTATCAGAGTTTATTTTTTATTTTTATTTTTTTGCAGTTTTTGGCCAGGGCTGGGTTTGAACCCACCACCTCCGGCATATGGGGCCAGGGCCCTACTCCTTTGAGCCATAGGTGCCGCCCAGGGTAGTTTATTTTTAATACATTGACTGCCACACTAGAAAAAAAGGTCAGGCACATTAACTGCCATATAAATTGTATTTAACTCCTGCTAGTTTTTAGTCCAGGGCCTTGTGAAGCATATATAATTCACATGTCTCTTGACTTAATAAGATATCATGGCCCCAAGGGGAAAATTTTTTTCTAGTCTGGCAGTAAAGTGTTCCAGACTTGTGAGTTATAGATGCTTCACGAGACCCCAGGCTCAAAACCAGCATAAGTTGAATACAATTCACGTGGCAGTTAATGTGTTAAGTCCTCAGGGTGCTCTCATGTTATAGGGTTTGTCATTTAAATATACAGGGCAGTTGCTCCTTGCTCTGAGAAGTGGGCTGTGGATGGTGTTTGGAGATTTGTGGGAGGAAAGGGGCTCACTCGCCCCATCACATGGTCAGCTGGAGATGGGCCACTAGTGTTTCTCAGCCCTTTCAGGGATAAAGGCCCTCTCAGTAGCTCTGTAGCTCCATAGCTGTGCCAGACTGGCAGGCTGGCATGGTCCTATCCCTGTTCAAATCAGGCTCTTATGTAAGTAGAGCCCACTGGCCATTCATAGACTGCCTGAGAGACTGCAGGACTTTTTGCTGTCCTCTGGGTCCTTCTGAATTCTTTTCTCTTTATCTGAAATTAAACAGGGAACACTGGCTTGGACTTGGGAACTGTGCCTGTATTTAGGGTGGGGCTGCCAAGTAGGGGATGTGGGTGGGAAGTTAACATGGCCCTAGGGCTTTAGGAACCATTGGGAAGCAGGCTGAAGCTTGAGGGGGTCATGGGGCTGAGCCCCTAATCTCCTTGTGGGGAGACAGTTCAAGAGTCTAACTCAGAAGGAGATAGGTGGGTGGGCAGAGTTGCTGAATCAACATTCTCAAGAGCTGGGTGGACTTAGAGCAGGTTCTCAACCTTCCTAATGCTGCGGCCCTTTAATACAGTTCCTATGTATTGAGAACTGCTGAGTTAGAGGAGTGCATGGGTGGAGTATGGGTAACTTCAGAATTCTTAGGGAGATGTGTATAGTCTTAAACAGCATGTTGTTTGACTACTACTCACTCCTGGTTGGGCTTGGAGAGTTCGCAGAGGACATGGTGGTGTTTGGCCAGGTAATCCCTGTGCTTCAATTGGTTGCTGGAATGGTTTTGGGAGATGCTGGCTCTGTGGTCTCACGTTGAATATGACAAAGTGCCTTCAAGAGGCTCCCCACCCCCAGGCCACACTCATCCCCTGTCACCTCTCATGTTTGAGTTTTTCTCTACACAGATCTTGGCACCTTCGTTTTTTTTTTTTTGAGACAGAGTCTCACTATGTCACCCTTGCTAGAGTGCTGTGGCATCGTAACTCACAGCAACCTCAAACTCTCTGGGCTCAAGTGATTCTCTTGCCTCAACCTCCCTAGTGGCTGCCACTACAGGCACCTGCTACAATGCCTGGCTACTGTTTTTTTTTTTTTTTTTTTGCAGTGTTTGGCCAGGGCTGGGCTTGAACCTGCCACCTCTGGCATATGGGACTGGCGCCCTACTCCTTTGAGCCACAGGCGCCGCCCAACGCCCAGCTATTTTTAGAGATGAGGTCTCGCTCTGGTTCCGGCTGGTCTTGAATCTGTGAGCTCAGGTAATCCACCCACCTCAACCTCCCAGAGTGTTGAGATTATAAGCGTGAGCCATTGCATCTGGCCAGCACTTGGCACCTTCTGATGATAATGTGTGTTTGTGTGAGCCCCGGGAGGGTCTCTGGATGCCTGTGGAATAAATGATTATGTGAGTGTCTGTTAGAGGCCATTGTCCTATGGAGCAAAAGTACAGAGCAGGCTTCAGCATTTGGCCACATAATTGATGTTTCCCCCAAAAGGCAGTGCAGCCTGATGTGGAGGGGAACCCTTGGATGCTCATGTGATGTATGGCCATCATCCAGGATCGGCAGATCTGACTTTGAGCGTGGTCATAAGCCTGTAGCATCTTTGAGTACGTTCATGTGGGCTCTTGCCCTTTGTGAATCTGGCCTCTGCTCATCTTTTGGTACTTCAGAGATTGGCCATTCTTCTTCTTTTTCTTTTCTTTCCTTCTTTTTGATTCAAAGTTACTTAACTCTTGAGTTTCCATGTACAGATAAGACGGGATCCCATGGGATGCCCCAAGCCACAATCTACATAACGCAGTAAGAGTTTCTTGCAGGCTCATCCAGGTGCAGTCTGAGGAGTGAGCCAGGGAATTGCATGTCCCAGCTCACCTCTGTGGGTGGCACACTGTACTAGAGCCATTTCTAGTCTGCTGGCTCAGCACTGTCTAGGGAGAGAGTGTGGGAAGGACATCTGCTCAGGACTCCTGGATTCCTTGCCTCTCCCTTAACTGTTTGTCTTCCATTGCCCTCCTTTTGATAACAGGGTCACAGCCGAGGGACTTCTGGGGCTTGCAGGGTCTTGGCCTTCAGAGCTGCTTGCAAATACCAGGTGCTGGTAGGATGACAAATCAGGGCATCTTCCTCAACCCCTCTCAACAGCTGGAGCCCACCATCTTTGCTAGTTTACGTTTCTCTTTATAGATGAGACAGCCTGTTACACTTGTGGGAACCCTGCCCACCTCTGCTGAAACCCTCATCTTTTTCTTGTTATCACTACTCCCTTAGTTCCAGGATGCACAACTTTTTCACCTCAATTTTTAATGTTTGTTAAGTTGGGATGCATCTTAAGGTTGATGTAGGTATATCTGTGCTGTGTAGTTATTTTTTTTTCTTGAAAACTGGTCTCTGGTTTGGAATCAATGTCACCTCAGGATCTGTAACTAGGGTGTCTTTCTTACCACATCCTTCTTGGTCCAAACCTTGGGAGTCCTTGGCCTGTGTTGTTTCTGATCCTCTCATATCTATCTTTATTGCCATGTTAGTCTCCCTTCCATCTTTTGGTCCCTAGCCATTAGGATCCTTCTGGAAACCAAACCAGCCTGGGGTACTCCAGCAACTTCCCATTGCTTGAGGCTAAACCCCCCAAAGCATTTGCCTTGGCCTCTGTTTCAGTCTCCTCCTCAGCCTCAGCTACTCTCCTTAAGTTTACTTGGCTCTAGCCTCTGGATGTTCCAGAACCCTGCCAAGCACCCGTGTTGCCTCTGGGCCTTTGCACCCCACTCTGTGAATCTCATGATGGTCCTTGGCGCAGATCACAGAAAGGCCTTCCCTGACATACCCCCTGTGGCCCTCTGGGCCCTCTGCCCTGCTTTTGCGCAGATCACAGAAAGGCCTTCCCTGACATACCCCCTGTGGCCCTCTGGGCCCTCTGCCCTGCTTTTCCTCATAGTGCCTGGTATATCCGGACCTCCTGTTACATAATAGATACTTTGTCTGAGTTCCCTTTAAGCATGAGCAAATCCGGAGGTCAGGGCAGGGAGGATGGCTTCTCAACTGTGCTCACTGTTGTTTCCTGGCACCTATAACATTGCCTGCATGCCTATTGTCACACATAGACCTGTCATCCTGAGTTCTGTTCATCCTGAGCCCAGCACCCAGCGCAATTCTAGCACATCAAGGGGTTCAGTCAGTGTTTGCTGAGTGAATGAATAATGAGTACTGCTCAGTGAGCAGAAAAGGCTTTTGGGAGGTGCAGAGATGGCCCTGCTCACAGTTGAGCCCTTTGCAAGTCTCTGGGTAGTAGGCACATCCTTGCTCTGCATGGGAAGGGCCACAACTTCTGGGTCTGTGTGGGTTCCCTTGGCTTACTGCTGTCTCCGAGGAGCTCTGGAAATTGGGTCATGATGCAGGAGGCCACTGCAGCTACCCTGAGGCACAGCTGAGTGG